GCTTGAAGGCCGCGTGCCAGTGAGGAGGCCAAAGGTGCTTTCATACCAGAAGCCTCCACAGCATGCAGAGGCCGTGCCCGCAACGCCGTTCCAGGGGTCTCGGAAAGAATTCCCGTTCCGGAAGGCTCCACAGTAACGTCCTTGCCTCGTTCCACACCTTCCCTCTTCTTTTTCTTCTTGCCCTTGGACTCCTTCTTAGAAGGAGAGCCGGGTTTCCTATTCCTCTCAGGCACATCGGTTGCACTTCTACTACCGCAAGAGGCAGAATTCCCTTCACGCTCTAAAATTCTCTCGTGAGGGTCCACTTTATCCTCCCGTCCTTTCTGATTCTTGGAATTGGAGCAACCCATTCCCTTCGTGTGTGCGTGTGTGTATGTGTATGTGTGAGTACCTGCACTACCCTCCTCCCCGCACACCCACACACGGCTGGATTTATTTCCCAGTTATATGCCTGTGGCTTCCTTGAGCGCAGCCTGTTGAGTGGCCAAAGCAGCCAGACGGAAAAACAAGAAACAAAGTGAAAATCCTCTACGCCCTACTTTTCCTTGGCAGAAACATCAGAAAGGGAGAAACGAAGTAGTAAAAAAACACCATTTATTATTTAGTTGTTGCGTTGTCTTCATCTCTCATCGCATGGTGGGATATGTATACATGTGAGCTCACCAGCCACCGGGGAGCCCACACGTGGTGCCCTCAGCGCCCTCCACAACAATGTCCATCGCGGTCCATTGGAAACAATGATACTGTTGCTGTGCATGTACCAGACACGCGTAGGGCCAAGCCATTCCCTCCTCAGACCCTCACAAACTAAAAACAAAAAAACGGCATTTGGCAACCATTCAGCAGCCGTCTCACGCCGCCCATTGTCGTTTGTGCACCGCCTGCGTGCATGGCAGGAACGGCGTGGCGGAAAAAAAAAAAAAAAAAAAGACGGACAGACAGAAAGTGAGGGAAAGGAAAAGAGTTGGGGTGGTGCCAACAGAAAAAGGAAGAGTCCGCGTCGCAAGCAGTCAATAAAACCAAACACACCGAGATGAAACCAAACAACAAAAGAAGTTCCAACATTGCCGCCTGTAGAAATAAGGGGAACCAACAACACATAATTGTATATATATGCAGAGAGAGAGAGAGAGAACAGAAACACTCATTTGTCACCACCACCACCCCCTCATTCTATGTGCCGTTCATTTGATTTCGCTCACACGCATCCCTCCTTTCCTTTTCTTTTTCTTTTTTCTTTTTTTTGTAATTATCCCTTCTTTTTTTTTTCTCCATCCCGCACACTTTGGGCATGCATATGATGTTTGTTTTTTTTTGCCTTCGGTTGCAACCGCTTCTCCTCCTTCCCCCTCCCTGTCCTTTTTTTTTTCTTGTAATTATCCCTTTCATGCGCTGCCGCTCCATTTCCTCTCCCACCCCCCTCGTCAAAACCCGTCTTATTGACATGAATCAATATATTATTCCATTTAATTTTTTATTTCCTTTCATGTTTCTTGTCTGCCTATGGAATAGTGCCTATCCATCGCCGTTGCTGCAGCGTTCTCCGTGCGCACCTTTTTACCCACCATTATTTCTCCCCTCTTCCTCACCTCTTCAGCTCTCCCCCTCCGTGACTCAAATGCCCCCGGACGGATGCATCAGCGGAGCCGTGGGGACGGTGTATGTCTTCTTCCATGTGTTGTACATCCCCAGTGCCCACACCGGCATGGTGTTCTTGTACCCCGGGTAGTGAATCGGGTTGTTGCCATTAAACACACCACTGATCCTCTCCTGCGCCCAGTCTCCCGTGACAAGCTGCCGCGACATGATCAAGCGGATGCCCCGTTCCACCGCCACACTGATTTGTTCCCGCCGCCTTGGCAACGAACGGGCCGCCTCCCCAGCGGCTGACATGATCGCCATTACCGCCCAGGCAGTGTTCACGACTTGGCTGCCACTTGGGTTGTCCACCCAGAGAGACCGAACGCTGGCGGTGACGTCCTCGCCCCACCCTCCGTCGGCGTTCTGGTGGGAGAGCAAAAAGTCAATGAGACGCACGCAAGATGGGTGGTTTGCCATGTCGGGTATCTCACGGGAGATACAAAGTGCACTAGCCACAATCCACGCAGCGTAGGTAAAGCACACACCCCAGCTCCCGTAAAAACTGCCATCTGGTCGCTGCAATGACAAGACAAACTTCAACCCTTCCCGAATAGCGGCGTTGATTTCCGCCCGGCGGTATCCCGGGTAGTGCTCACGAAAAAGGGCCAAGGTGTGAATGCAACTGCTGCTGCACTCGGCGTAACCGTAATCTGTCATCACGTCCCTAAACACATCGGAGGAATTGAAGAGCTCAACATAGAGCGGCGCACGCGTGGGTTCGTATGAGGCCCAACCACCCTTTGCATTACGTAGAGAAAGAATCTCGTCGACGGCATCACGTATGCGGCTCACCGAAAACGGATTGTGACGAAGCAAAAGAACCACACGAAGACCCTCAGCAGTGCAGTCTGAAACTTGCCACGACTGTGAAGCGGTACTAAAATTCCATGCACCCTTCGTACGATGGCGGTAGAAGTGAGCCGCTGACTTCGGGTCCTTCTGAACCTGCGCAACGTCCACGTAGTGGTGGGCGAGAGACATCTGCTGTGGGTACAACAACTCCATGTTACAGGCGCAGACAGCCTGTACGGCAAAAGAGGTATCCCACAGCTGGGAGCCATTGTAACCACACACACGCATTCCTTCTGGTCCCATGTAAATAAAATCAGCTACGCGAGAGACATGATTTTGATAACGTCCGCTTTTCTCTCCCTCTCGAATCCACGTAAGAAGCATATCCAATGCTTTATTTACGGGTCCAAGGCAAATAAATTTGGTGTCTTCATCATCATATGCAACGTGTGACCAAGCCACCTCCAATGCATGTCTGCGGAGACTTTTGATGTGCCACTTTTCGTATAGTTTCAAAAGCACCGCGACAAGTTTGTACGTGGAGGAAAGTGGTGTATAGCAGTCCAAGTTGCAGATGTTACTTTGGTGCTGATCCCATTGTATTTGATCATATGGCTCCGTATACAATTCCTGGCGAAGAGCTTCCAAGAGAGGGTGAGGCTCAGGTGCCCACCGTATACCATATAAGTAAGAAAATGGCACAGAGATAACGCGGCTGTGGCACCAGAGGCGTCCTTGAGATAATGGGAACCAAGCTGGCAAGAGTGAAAGCTCTGGAGGAATGGGGTTAATGCCATCCCAGCTATATAAGCCAACAATGCACAACCACACTTTACCCCATGTTGGAACGGAAACCGCACCACCGTGACTGCGTATCCATGCCCGAGCCCGCGTGGCATCCGCATCATCCGCCGGCACACCCATAAAACGCAGCGCAACGTAGTTAAGAGCCGTCCCTAACATCGTACTATGCCCCTCCGTGTGTTGCCCAAAGCCACCGTCCTTGTTCATGTAGTTTCGCAAGTATCGTATCATTTCCACCCGTTCCGCCTCCCCACAACGACACGGCTCGTCATTTTTGTGCTGATGATCCCTATGTGGAGGGAACATCTTCCGAATATCCCCACCAGCGACAATAAACTTTGTAAAAATAAAACCAGGCGTTAAAAACAATGGTCCGCTATAATCATTTGGCCAATGTCCAGAATATGGATCCTGCAGGCGGAGCAGAAATTCAACCCCATCGCGCATGGCATCTTCAGGTGAGGCGCGTCGACGTATCTCCGTTGTGTTATGGAGACCGAGCTGATACTGCTCCAAAAACCGACGTTGTTTTGCCTTAATCGCACGCATGTCTGGTTCCTTCGTTGGCGTGACGACATTTCCCGCCGCCCACTCATAATGTTCCCCCACCATGGGAACATCTTCGGATGGGAGAATCGTTAACCCTGCGGCTTGGGCCTTGCCGAGTGTATTGCCCTCCTCCTCGTTTAGCAATTCGCCGTAGCACCAACGCTGCCGGCCGTCTTCACAGCGTAAATGCCAATTCTCAATTGGAAACTCCCTGGACGCGGCGACCCGAACTGGACGCACGTGTGGCACGCTCTCAAACGGCCACCGCTGTTGGTGCTTCAAAACAACCCGTCTATTGTGCCGGTCAAGCAGCGTAAGAAGCCCGTGAAAAAGGAGCAATATTGGCCACGTAAAGAAAAAAAATAGAAACAGGCTCAACATCCTTCCAGCAGCCAACAACACTGACCGCATTTGCTCAGACCACGTTGTTGGAGGCTTGGGCACAACACTCTCAAACGAAAAAGCCCCAGAAGATGACATGGAAGGCGAGTCTCCACTCATGTTGTGCTGATTGCGACTTTTCGTAAGCACCGTCATTACACAAAAAGACTGCAACAGCAAATTCCAAGCCCTGTTTCACCTCCTTTTATTGAATACGCCGTAATAAAATTAATTGATTATAATCCTTTATATCTTACTGATCGTTATCAAGAGGGTAAATTTTTTTCAATAAAACAGCGGAAAAGAGAAAAAAATCAATAAATAAATAAATAAACGGACGCATGTACACCAACATTTTTTTTATTAATAATCCCCAAATGAGTTTTTCTCTTTTGTTTATTATTACTTTTAATTTTTTCTTCCATTTTTTTTTTTTGAGGGTGTTTCTGTCCGTGGAACAAATCGGTGTTGACGGTACGCATATATATATACATGCATGTATAAATAGATATGAGTTAATTATCTTTTCTTTTTTTTTTTTTTCAACAGCACTTCCGCTCCCATTATACCCTGACATCCGGTGCGTTGTTCCTTTGACTTTTCTCTTTGTTGTCAGTCTCTGCGTTTGTGCGCCCATTTTTTTTTTCTTTTTTTTTTGTGTGTGTGTGTGTTTTATGGCCCACCAGACAAGCAATTTACAATAATCCAAAAACTAGAAAAACACCTATGTGTTGGATAATAAAACAAAAAAAAAAGGTAATGTGGCTTGGAACACCAATTTTTCCCCTCGCCCTATCTAAGGTCTTAGCTACTCTAAAATATTTGCCTCACTTCTAACTCGTCGCGGCGCACACATCTGTCGCCTCCTGCGGATCGCGATGCCGTGGCGACGGCCTCCCCTTTCGCTTGCTATTCCGCCTCACGGACGCATCACCAGTAACAGCGTCCGTTGGAGCAGCGTTGGCTTCTGCAGAAGGAGACAAATCACGTGGCGATGGGGATATCAACTGAAGCTCCTGGCACCGTTCCTCCGCCTCCACCACCAACTGCAAAAGCTCCTCGCATGTTGGACGACTGGCCGGGTCGATTGTCAGACAACGCTTCGCGATGGCCGTTAACTCGGGAAGCTCAGCGCACTCCGGCACCTCCGGGGTCTCCGTTGTGTACCGGAGTAAATTCATAATCTGCTCCTCACTTTCAAATTCGTATTCACTCCATGGGGCCTCCGTTGAAAGCATCTCAATTAATGCGCAGCCAACCGACCACATATCACTCGCCTTCGTGGGACCAACATCGCCGCGGAGTAACTCTGGCGCCATCCACCGTAGCGTGCCCGCAAGTCGATACGTCGTGGCGTCATTGCCGTTTGCAGCCTCTGCCCTACCGGCACGATCTAGGGACTGACTGTGCTGTCTGTTGAGCAGCTTGGCGGTGCCAAAGTCTGACAGCTTCACACGACCCTTGTCCGTGATGAGTATATTGGCCGCCTTCACGTCGGAGTGTACAATGTTGCGCTGATGCAGGTAGCGCAGACCCTCCAGTGTTTGCCTCAAGTAGGAACAGATCACACCTGGGCTAAGAGCCCCAAAGTTGTCAAGCAAATGACGCAATGAGCCGCCAGGCACAAACTCAAGAAGAATGTTAAAATATTTTTGGTTCTGAGACGATCCAAGGTACTGCACAATGTTCGGGTGCACGGCCCGGGAGAGAACCTTGATCTCCTCCTGCAGACTTCTGTACTGCTGGAGCACATCCTTGTGGTCTGGGTCGTCGTGGGCGACCGTAGGCAGTAGGACTCTCTTCACGGCTATGAGTTTTCCGTTCGTCAAGTTGATGCCAAGGAAGACCTCCGCGTTGCCCCCTTTACCAAGCATCTCCTCGCCAATTTTCCATTCAATCGTCTCACGATGCGGTGTTGTTGTGCCACCCGGCCTGCCACTTCGGCTTCTCGTCGAAGTCGCGAGACGCCAGCCACTACCACCGCCGTTGTTGCTGTGCGACACCCCGCCCAATTGGCTGCTGCTCACCGCGATCAAACTCCCGCTTTCAGAAGAGGTTGGATGCCGACGGTGCAGCGTCCCTCGTCTTGGCATCCCTGATGAGCTCACACTGGAGACCGCCATCGGCACAGCAGCAGCAGCAGTCTCCGAGAGTGGCACCCCCCGTTCGTCCGTCAGCAGAAACTGAAATCCCAAGAAGAATCTGGAGGAGCTCAATCTAAACGTAATTAGATCATGATCACGCAAAATAGAATGCTTTCCTTTACTCACCTTCTTAACATTGACATATGTGCCATTGACACTTTGATCGTACAGTGTGACCACCCAGTTTCCCATCGGGGCATGACAACTGTGTGGGCTGGTAGGAGTCGAGTTGCGCAGGTGATTCAGGCAGAGACTTTGCTTCTTTATATCCTGCTGATTGGTGGGCTGCATCGACAAAACCTCCGAGTGTAGTTGTCGTACAATTTTGAATTGGATGCTGCTGACGAAGCCATCCGAAGTCGTGGCATGGCACTTGCTACTGCGGCCAAAGAGGAACCCCTCTCCAGGAGGAACACGGATAAAACAGGAGGGAATCGTTGTCTCGTCACTACTTCTTAGCATCGCCCATATCGGTGTTTCCTCACCAGCGGCATTCACGTTGGAAACCATGGAGGCAATGAAATCGCTCTGTACAGTTGACTCTGGTGCGGAAGAAACTGGTGGGAAGTTAGTCAAGGGCGGCTGTGGATGCAACGATTGCTGCTGCTGCTGCTGCTTCTGCTGTTGATATGACAGCTGCTCGGGATGCTGTTGGTGATTCAATTCCGCCTGATCCTTTGACAGTGCAATCTCGCCGTGGGCATCTACACCGTTCATGCTTCTGCTCGACGGGCATTCTTGTGGCGGTGGGCTGACAAGCGGTGTCACCATCACGGCTTTCAAGTTCTTAGTATCCCGACTATTCAACGGCGTGTGTGGTGGGTGACCCCTACTCCCCCTATCGTTTTGCCCACGGCGCTTGCTGCTATTGCCACGAGTGTCATGGTGCTCACCATTACTGGCCCTGTGCGTGCCGGGAAAATCAGTTTCCGTGACATTCACTTTTCCCATATTGACATGGAAAGGCGAATGTCGTTGGCTATTGTAAATAGACGTCTGCAGCGACAGTGGGGTCGGTGTGAGTCCAACAGCAGCGCGTGTGGAAAACTGCGGTTGTTTCAAGAACCCGTCTGACACCGCGGCCTCTGCACCGGGACTGTTGCCATTATTACCAATAATATTCATGGTACTATTGCAGACGTTTTGTTGTTCGCCCTCAGTTTCTGCTTTCTCCACCGCATTTATTGTCTCTCGTCCTTCTGGAAACGACGGTGTCTCGTGTGGCTGTCGGTCCATTTCCCGGTCGGCTCCGTGCAGCGGTGCAATCGTCCCGTCGGTACCATTTGTACCCTTCTGCACTGCAGAAGAGGCGGGCAACATCTCCCTCGGATCGGGGCGTGGTGGTTCATCCAACGCTGCACGACGCTCAGACAGAACCCCACCAGGGGCGTGTATGAAGTCATTCTCTGGCTTTACACACGGCCCCACAGTGGCACTGTCAAAAGGCATGCATACTTCGTCGTGTATCACAAACAGCAGAGGCACCCCCGCCAAGACCCATGCAGAGACGCTTTCTTGCATACTCGCCAACGCAGAAGAGCAACACCCGACTCTCTCCTTGGCAGGGTCGCCACAATTTTTGAGCAGACTTTCAGGTATGCATTGAGACAGAAATGACGCTGTGTTTGCAGCCACTTCGCCCTTACGAGACCCGCGACAAAAACCCCTGGAGTCAAGTGAAGAGCTTAACGCCCGGCAACTATCAGAGGCGTTACGTCTCTCCCCTTTCCACGGTGAACGCTGCAAGGGCCTCGCAAGACCGGTCACACTGCCTTCCAAGGCCGCACCCTCGTCTTCAACAAAGTCCCCAGTAAGCGGTTTAAATGTCACAGACAAAGAGAGCGATGGACTGGACGGTATGTGAAGAATCGCCGGAATGGGTGGCTCCAACCGCGTCCCTCGTCTTCCCTCGTGTTCCACCTCCCCTACGCCAGCCTCCTTTATATCGCAGCAGCTACTCACCAGCCCCGAGAAGTTTGGAATGGGGCTCGCGTGAGCCGGCAATCCCACCACGTCGTACGCCAGTCGCCCTGTTTGCCGCTCCGCCTCACGACTCCAGTGCAGCACGCAGCCTGTCACAGGATGCACTAAAAGACACGGCCATGGCATCCAGTCCAGCACACAGTGGAGACGCGGCTGGCAAAGAACGAGAAAGCAGTTCTTGAAATCGTCTCGGCTTCCTTTCCACACATCAAGCGAGAGTGAAAAATATTCAGCTTCTCCTGGAATATGCTCCACGGGTAAAAGGTCGTTTTGATCACCGCCCATGCCGTTTTTCGCAGGGCGTTCCTTCCTCTCACTCAATGATGGAGCCATTGTTGAGGATGGGTGGCGTGGACGACGTCCTCGGATCAAAATACGCCGCACCGTCGCATCTTCACCCATGCGCATAGAAGTTTGTTCGCCCCCTGCCGTTGAATACTCCGCCCCGTCAGAGTCTATAAACGCATCCGCATTTGTCCCCAGTTCCGTATGTGAAGATCGTCCATCACCAATCCTACTACACGAATATCGATCATCCCACTCCTCTTCGTCCTTTCCCAAAATAAAGCTATCATCATGAAGAAAAGCAACCTTTTGGATGGTTTCTTTCAATGCAGCCACGTTCCCCACCTCTAATTCCTTCAAAACAGACATGAACTTCTGACCCACAAGATATCTAACCGTTAGCCCGACATGAGCCGCAAAACTCTCACTTGCGCCAAGAATGACGCCTCCACCTGAACTAAGAAGAAGATACGTTGCTCGAAGATCCCCAGCTGGGGCCATACTGTCTGTCCCATGCTGCATCACATCTAATCGAGGGGGTTCATTGAACTGAGCACCGTTTCCGATAGAGGGAGTTCCCCACGGAACTTGCGTTCGGGATGTGGGGATCGACAAAAAAAGATGAGGGCGTTCTTCGGAGGAAGACACCGGCACTCCCCGGCCGTATAAGACACCTACGCCGTCCCCCTCGTGTCCCACCGCATGAGTTGAAGATGGCAACGCTACCACCCTGTTGGATGCATCACAAACCCCGTCCCTGGACGCATGAGGGATGGAGCTGGGACTGTCACCACTCATAGAGAGCAGACCTGTGCTCCATCGCCGTCGACAGCGTTCCCGAAATCGTTTTACGGCAACGACGGGGATGCATATAAGGGAAATCAGAAGCCACAGCAATGAGGCCACTATGGTTCCAAGATCCAGGGATTTAAAGTGCGCCATCAGCACCGCAAAGTGAACAAGTCCAACAGTAATTCCGGCGGCTAAGGGGATGTTAAAGGCAAAAACAAACCAAAAGTGTAGAAGGTTCACTTTCCATACATTCACCACGGGGTATATGTTTACTACTTTGAAGCTGCCGTCATTACGTGACACAATGTTTTGTGCAATCCCCACGTTTGTCGCCATCACGTGTGGGGAGAGGATCACAAGAAGGCCTAAAATACACAACTCCATCGCCGGAAGAGCCTCATGCCACCACACCCAGCACGAAGAAGCAGCTGAACAGCTTGAAATGGCACCGCGAGAAACTAACTGCACGTGTCGTGGGTGCCCCCTTCCCTGTTGTTGGTACGGGCTGCCAGTATTTCTATGGTTCTCTAAAAAAACACTGCCGCCGTCTTGAAGAATGGCCTGATCCACTGTAGCCTCATCACGCAACGCCACCAATAAAGAATTCTTGCGGGACGACCACCAATACAACGTCGCAGACAATATCCCAACTAAAAACGAAGCCGACATAAAGATGAACTGCCCCGCATTCGTGGACCACGGCATAAACAGAAACACCGCCGTAAAGAGACCTGCCGTGGCAAGAAAAAACCATCCTGGCACAACGATCGTACCACTAAGAAGTACACTCAACGAAGTGGATGCCGTCATCTCTCTACGCACGCCGTGCATTAAAGAAGTAAAAAACTAGGCAAAAAAAAAAGGAGGGAGGGGAAAAAAAATAAATACTGTTTTATTTATGCTTTGATTACTCGTGTGTTTCTTTTTCCACTCGTCGTTCCCACCCCCTAAGCATCTGAGTAGTGAATTAATGTACGGTACCATTAAGAAGATAGAAAAGAAAAAAAGAAGAAAAAAAAAAATAGAAATGCAGCACAGTGGTAATAAGTAACAGTCACTCAAAGCATACACGCTTACGCATATGCATACATAAATAAGTAGACATTTACACGCAACATCCCGTGTCCGATTTCTTCACTCTACCTGTTTTACGCATTCTTGCTGCATTCGTGTATATTTGTAATTATTGCATGTAATTACTTATGCATTTAAGTAATGTATGCGTGTAATTATGTGTTTTTGCGTGATCAGCTGCGTAATTTAAAGGCACAATGGAATATATACCTAACGACTCCTCTTAAGAGGCCACGATACCCTCTACTGTTCTTCCATACTCACACAAAATGTCCGGTAGCGGAAGAAAATTTGAAGTTTTTGACCGTCAAAAGATCAAAAAAAAAAAAAAGAAGAAGAGAAAAAAGTCCAAACAACAAACGTCCCAGTCAAGCGGGTCATAAAAACAACATGGAAAATGTATAGTTATGTTGATTGCTTACTTATTTGTTTATTTTCTTTTATTTTGTTTCCACAGAGGCGTTCTAACCTTCTTTTTTTTTCTGTTCTTTCCTTCTTCATTCGCTCGCATTATTTCGTGTCTCTTCAGATATCACTCGCTTCAAAGGTCGTTGAATTGCTCTTCATCCTCTGCCTCCTCATCCCCCTCATCTCGCGGCGCATGTTTGTCGGCGGCGGGCGCCTCGTCCTCCTGCAGGTCATCATCTTGATTATTGAGTGACTTGACACGCCTCATCAACTCCTTCACGCGATCCTTCGCAGACACCCCCCTGAGAGATTCCAAACTAAGGGGGTTTTCCCTTCCTCTTCCCTGCTGCCGCTCACGAACCCGGCGCAATGTTCCAAGCACACGCTCCTGGTGCTGCTTCAACTCATTCACTGTGAGGATACCGAGGGCGGCGTCATCCGCATCGTCGTCAACAACCGCCTTGTCCTTTTTAGCGCCGCCCTGCTTCGTTACCCCCGCACCAACACTGGCACGAGAAGGATTTGTGGGGCAGTGTTCATAGTCGGAGAGAAGATGCATTGACAAAGAAAGTGGAGCCGTAACGATCCCCTGCGGCACCTCCGATATGAACGGCTCCATTCGATCCAAATGGACCATCATGCGAAGAGGGTGTGACTCCTTGAGCTGCTGTAATTTCCACTGTCGTCCCTTTCGGAGATACGCAGCAGCGCCTGGGCGAAAAAGAAGAATGACGGGCGTCTTCGGATCACTACGTGTCCCGCGCATCATGCGCCCTTTCTTTATCATTTTCTCCACGCTGGTCAGTAAATCGGGCCGGCCAGTGGCCCCAGCATCCTCGCCGACGCCACTGCTCTCAAAGACATAGGCGAATGGGTACAAGTCAAAATATGATCGGGAGTCCTGAATGTCCGCCACCGCCACACGGGCCACCGGCAGGTGTTCGCCCCCAGTTTGTCTTTCTTCCTGCTTAGCTTGCAATTTGGTCACCGCTGGAAAAATGCTTTCTTGAATAAAATCGCTCGAGAATCCTTTCATTTTCTCAGATGAAACATTTACAAATACGACGCACCACCAATGCTTTTTCTCCTCCATCAGAAGTTCCTCCAGTTGCTGGGCGGTGGGAACAAAAAACAGCATCTCCCATGCGGTTGGCGATAACTCGATAGCTGATGACGACCGCAACATTTCCTCCATTTGCGTCATGGGAAAGTCATACGGCGTCGCGGTGGTTTCTGACGCGGCAGTAGATAAGATCTGTAACGATAATAACAGTATTGAGGCCCACAGTGTAGGCAACAGAGAAAATGTAAAAGAGAATGATGAGTACTCTCGCTGCATAGATGTGCGTGAATGAAACGCGGCGTAATAGATGTCAAACACTTCTCCCTCGCCGTCCAACTCCCACAGATGCAAATGCATATGGAAGAAAAAGAGAAGGAGAACGCAAGAGAGAAAAGAAAAAGAATAGAGGAGGAGGCACAACGGATGCGTGTTGCATGCATGCATAAAACGAGAAAAAGGGGTGGGTAACAAAAAAAAAAAGAAAAGAAAAGAAAAGAAAAAAAAAAAAAGGTGGGGGAGGGAAGAGGGAAGGGAGTGTGTTGAAACAGAAATAATAAAATAAAAATAAAAATAAAAATAAAAAATAAAAATAAAAATAAAGGGAGGGGACATCCTGCTCATCATTAATCACAGATACGTTATCTATTTTATTTTATTTTATTTTATTTTATTTTATTTTTTCGTTTCTCTTCGTTTTCGCCCCTCTACTGCTATGCCTATATTTCAAAAATCGTGCGAATATCGTTATTGTACCCCTCCCACCCGCTCCGTTCCCGGTACCAAAAGATGTGAGGTAAAAGAGAGAGAGAGAGAGAGAGGGTGGGAGAGTAAGAGGGCCCCTTAAACTATTTAATTAGCTCCTCTACAAACTGACGATAAATAACGCACATGTTTACGGCAGACTTCACTTTAAATATATATCTATTTATTTTTTTTGTTTTTTTATTTATATATTTGCCTGCAGTCATGTTCCTTCGGATTGCTGCATATTCCGCAGGTGCCGACCCACCTCATTAAGCCTCCGCTGGTGCTCCTGCTCCATGGCGTGAAACCGCACCATTCGCTCATCCTTTTCTGTTCCGCGCCCCTCCTCCACACGAATCATTCTCCGCAGGAGTTCAACACGATGCATGCGCTCCTCAAGGTGACCAATGAGAAGATTCGTAGGATGCTCGTGGAGCTGTTGCGTCGCGTGTTCGCCATGGTATCGTATGTACTCCATCAGCAGCAGATGATTTTCTCCATCCTCATTCCCACCGTCGGCCTGCTGGAACGCCTTCTGCCAAGAAGCGCCGTGGGCAGGCACCGTCTCACGCTCGCGGCTAATTTGCCGTTCGCGCAAAACATTCTTCACACGCTTCAGTACTTCTTCGCTCCGGCGTGCCTCCTTCAAGATGGCGGCCTCACGTGTTTCGTGCAACAATCGCAACTTGGCGGCCATAGGGAACACGTATTCAAAATCAATCTCTTGCTCGGTTTTTTGCTTCAGGTCCGCGTAGTGAATGGGGGCGTTAAATACTTTGTCGTCGGCCAGATTCTCAACGTCGTATATATCCAAAAGCGCTTCCCTGTGGCTTTCATCGGGGATCTCAAGACGCCTCCATGAACGACGACGGCCCCTCTCCGCGCCAACCTGACGACGCTCCTTCAAAGTTTCCAGACTCATCTGCTGCAGCTCCGTTGTGACAAACTCCAAAAGCTCCTGAGCCTCGTCTGGGCCCTTAATGCAGCCGCAGCCTTCCTGTCCATCCAAAGAGATAAGGCTCGCATGTACAGACGAGCACGGCGCGTTACTGCGACAGCGAAGAAAAATGTGCGGAAGAAAAACTGGAGTTTTTGTAGCCGGGTAAAACAAGATCGGTGGGAGCTCACTCAACAGTGGCCGAGTCGTGGGTTCCGCTGTCTCTTCACTCTGGCGCATTTTTTCCAAAACGGTGGGGTGAAAATGGTGCGCGTTGCGGGTGGATCCTTTCGGCGCCAAAAATTTTTGGAGAAGCTCCGCCTCGGGCGAATGCGCCACAAAATCTCCAGCCCCTCTATTCTGCACCTCGCCGTCCTCTGGCATTTCGGAAGCTGACGCCAAGAAATCATCGTTGTCGGCATCGGTCTCATTCTCCAAGTAAGGCGCTCTGTAGGTACCGGCGCCCAATGGGCTCCGCAGCGACACTGGCACTCTGTGCGCCGCACTGTCCCGGTCATTTCCGCCCCGAAGACGCCGTATTTCACCACCTGCACGGAACGCGTCCACCACGAATACCCGAAGTCTGTGCTCCGATAGAAGAGCTGCCACATCCCCCTCTTCTTCAATTTCATCTGGGTGAGCTTTGTTGGCCGATTCCTTTAGCAGTTGGTTGACGGCGTCACCAAAATCCGCCAGCAGCACAAGCAGCTGCTCGTAATCGTAACGTGGAAACAAATGCGGTGCATACAAGAGTACCAGGGCGCTTCCGTCACCCTCTGTCTGCATTTGTTCGCAAATGGCCTCCGCCTGTTGGAGGGGGAGGGTTCTGAAGGAAGGCACCCTCGCCGCCGTCCTCCCACTCATCTGCAGCTTCTTCAGCAGTTCCCGCAGTGAGAGAGGCAAGGCATCGTTGTAATGCCCAACGTCCTCGTCCCTCGAAGCCGCACATGACGCCGTTTTCATACCGGCAAACAACAGGGTGCCAACCACAAAAATTGCGTAGAAAAGAACGACACAACACCGCATCGTAATAAATAAATAAATAAATAACAACTTTGCGAAAGAAACAGAAAAAAATAAATAAATAAATAAGTAAATAAAAATATACTACGATACAATTAAATAAATGAATAACAATATTGAATAAAGCAACTTTTAGCAGTAGTGGTAGTGAACGTCCGCTCTAAACAACGCAGAAGAATTACGTTTTCCCCCAACCTTTGTTATAACTTCGCTTTAATACCCTCCACCCGCTTTTGTTGTTGTTGTTGTTGTTTGGGATACTACAGAAAGAAAAAAAAAAAAAAAAAAAATCAAAGGAAGCCGCGGGGAGTGCACTGAGAAAAAGTCATTTTTGGTGAATTGGGAGGGGGAAAAGGGGAAAACGTCAGGAAAAAATACTTCGCAAGACCCCAACGCATGAACCGCCAAAAAAAAAAAAAAAAAAAACGTCGACGCACCATCGCTGGTCGTACCCGCAATAGAGAGTCATCCATGGCCAAATGGATAAAAGTGCAATATAAATCCAAGTGTGGGATTTCCATTCATTCGCCCTTCCTTTGTTTTTATAAAAATAAAATTAAAATTTGAAAAAAAAAAGGTGATCCCCCATCGTCACCCATCTCTATTATTGTCCCTTCACACCGTATTCGTGATTCAAAATAAGCCATTCACCATTTTGTATGAACGCTCTTTTTTTTTTTTTTTACCCACTTTTGTTCTTCCTTGCCTTGTCACTCCCTATAAATAAATATAAATAAATATATATATATAGCCTTCCCTTTCATTTCCTCTTCACACATACACAGAGAGGACTCTTGTGGCTACTGATTCCCCTTACTGCCATCATAATCATCAGCATTCAGCCGCAAGGAGTATAACCCCGTATCTCCCCGAGACCCTCCATGTGGGATCCGTGCGGTCCAATTCATTCTGCCGCGCTGTCTTCACACCAATGCTTAGTTCGCTCTTTATCGTGCGTATGGCGCACACCGGCACGGCGTGTACTGGCCAGTAAGATGACAGAATTCGCTGGAAGCTGATGACCTCATCCGTCTCTTCTTCTCCCTCTTGAAGATGGCGGCCACTTTCTACGCGTGGTGTGTCGGCAAGCAGCAGCTTCGACACCGCGGAAGCCTCCCGTTCATCCGGGGAAAGTGTTGAAAGAAATCCGCGGCGGTCCCAGTGGCGGTCGCCGACGAGACGACGAAAATTAAGATCGCCCTTGAAAATAACGAGCGCCGAGTGGGCGGTGTAGCGTGAGCAGTCAGAATATGAAACTGATGATGACTGCCGCTCCTCTTGCCTTTTCCGCAACTCCGCCTCCGACAACACCCGCCGAGTGTAGAAAAATCTATTGCATACGTGTGGTGGTAATTCCCGGTACTCGGACGGCTGCGTCCACACGGCGTCGGCGTCTATGCGCAGCCTGCCGTTGCTAAGAGCCTCATGTAACAAACGCACAAACGGCATCAGCCTTGTCGCCAGCGCAGGCTCCTGCCGCGCGCAGTCCTCCATCTCCTGAATGAGGAGCGCAATGTCCGGCGGGGTCACATCCGAAACGTAGTACGGCATGCTCTTCACATGCAGAGACACACGCAGCGAGGGGTGGTGTTGCAGCACCCACAGGCTGAAGATGATGTCCGCCACACATTCTACCCCAAAATTGTCCATCACAATGTCAATTGTCTGAGGAATCGTCACGGTTTCCTTTAACTCCGTTTGTACAATAAGACATACCAGCCGCGCCAACTTCTCCAACTGATTGCCGACAATGCGATCATCCTGCCCCATCGCCGCCCTTGCCTCTGCCACACGCAAGGCATTCACATCGATCTGTGCTGGCCACTCAGTTCCTTCCATCGCCCCCTCGTCACCCCTCCCAGTTTTGTCTCCAGGCCCCGCTTCGCCCTTGGAATGGCTCTCTCGTAGCTGATCCAGCGTGAACATGGAAAGATCGATGCCATTGCCCCACAGCATCCACCGCAGCAGCACAGGAACAAAGCTGCCATCCGCCTCCCAGGGCACACATGCGAGCATGGGGCATATTTTAAGTTTCAAAAAGTTGTGAAGCACATCACGCTTCTCACGCATAAAAAAATCGCGATAGGGTTGAAAATATCCATGCAGCGGCGCAATACAATCACCAGCGGCGATGTCACGGTAGCTGATTCTGCCTTCCTGTACCACAACACCGTCTGACGCAAACGTAGATCCATCCTTGGCAAGGAAAGATGGGTCAAATGACTGGAACGGTGTGGCGCCCCCTGCCGCCATAACCGCGTGCGTCGCAAGGGGACAGTCATGTGTACCAATGGGACTACATATTGCGTACGGCGTGACGAGATTTGGGACCCATTCGTCTGCTGCAGTCTCCCCGTTCTTGCATCCACCACCCTCCGCGAGCATCATGTACTGTGCAAAGAGGTGATAAAAGTAAATCTCACCCTGCAGCCACGGTATCTGGCCCCATCGAGGGGCAATAACAGCATCATTCACCTCTTGTTGCTGCCGCTGCCGCTGCTCGTTTAACATGTGCACATCCGTGTCAAACTCCGGTAAAAAGGCGTAGCCCTGTAACCAAGGCGGTACAAACTGCTGTCCGGGAAGTGGTGCCACCGCCGCATTATTCCGCGTTGCCTCAACAAGAGCACGAAGCAAGCGCCTTCCCTCCGCTGTGGTGTGCTCCTCGTTTTCCTTCAGCGTCCGCTCAATTATCTCTGGAATGCGCTGCCGCAAAGTCACTGTGCGGAACTCCCGCGGACCCGCGTCACGGAGGCGAACGAGGGTCGGCAGACGTTCGGCAGGACTCATTGTGCGCTTAAAACTCTGCAACAACTCGCTGGCATTCAACCACAAGTCGATCCTGCAGCAACCCCCAACTGCACTCTGCTCGTCCGACAAAAGGCGATGAATCGGAAAGCCACGGCGTGCAAACAAATAA